TCGGACAGATAACAACATATCATAAATTGAATTTAGGAGTCGTTTGGAAGTTGCGATAGTTTTGTTGAGATTGTCATTATGCATGTATTGTTTACAATGCATCGTTTTTTTGTTTTTTTAGCAAAAACAATACATGGATTGTTTCTGTGATGTGACAAAAACTATCACTCATTTTGAGTGATTATTATATCTCAACTTTTAGTTGTGATTGTTGAGATAGTTGAGTTGAGATTGTTTTGTCTCAGCTTTTAGCTAATGCGACATACACAATAACACATACCAAACGTTGTATTCTACAATGCATCAAATTCGACAATACATGTATAATATTATACATGCATTCTCAACAATACATCTATTTAACAATCGCAACTTCCAAACGACCCCTTAGCTCATTCAGCCTTCTGAATACCAGACTTCTTTCGGACTTACTCTCCGAAATTGGCTTATGCAATATCTTCGTCAACACGAGCCTCATGTTTGGCATTACCTACCGGTCTCTTTGGAGGACTAGAAACTAGGGCTGGATGTTCGGTTATTTCGGTTATAACCGATAATCGAAAGGTCGGTTACCGATTAACCGCGAAGAACGACTCCCCTACCGCCAACCGCCCGACGGATCCCAGCGGTTATCCAAAAATCGACCAGTCGGTTACCAGTTAGTTGCTCGGTTAACTGAGATAACCTCAACACCACAGGCGGTTCGGTTATAACCGAGTAACCGAACCGGACAGCCCCCTACACAAACATGATTGCTAAAATTGCCTAAAATTAAACGTTCAACCCTACATTCCTACATCTAAATCACTCCACAAGTCAAGTTTCAATCATTTTTGCATAGAAAATAGATTTAAATCACCAAATTAATGTCTCAAATACTAGAACATAAAGTCATAAACTTCATAAAGTCACAAATTACAATAGATCCAATCCAAATAGCATCAACAAGTCACCACCAAATCATCACTTATCAATAGAAGAAGAACCAACATCTACATAACCCTTTTCTTTCAATTGCGGCAAGAGGTCATGACCAACATCGTCATATCCATCTTTCTCATACTCTTTCCTCCAGCAAATTTTCTTCACCCTCCTGCTCATTCCCATCTGGAATGTTCAGACATGCATCTGCATTGGCAACATTGTCAACATCACTTGCACTTTCCATTCTAGACTGGAAAGTGGTATTAACTGAGTAAGAAAAAAGAAAACAAAGTGTTAGAATATTCAAACATTGAATTAGGTGGAAAGAAATAGTATTTGTTTACTTGAACAAACAATAATTAAAAGAGTTTTAGAACTTACCGCCTTCCAAATCCATGATCTCTTCATCATCTTCCCTATCTTCATTATCTCCGGCCGGGGGGTTTGATACTTTATCCAATCCTTCGCACAAATCAATGCCTCCAACATGATATCACTTAAAGATGACCTAAATGGATCGAGAATCTGACTGCCACAGTTGAAGGTTTCCTCTGAAGCAACAGAAGAGATGGGAACAACTAGGATATCCTTAGCCATCTCAGCAAGAATCGGATATGTTCCAAAGTGTCGAGACCACCAACTCAAGATGTCAAACTTGGCATCATCATTCTCCTCATTGATGCCATCAGTTTGACATCTTAAATAGATGCCAAGCTTAGTAGAGCTACCTCCTGTTACCTGCAGAAGTGCTTCCCTTTTCCTCTTCCTAAGCCTCTCCTCAAGCTGCTTAATCCTATCACCACCAACCGTGCTCTCACTAGTGGTAGGCTCAGATGCAGACGAGGGTGCTTTTGATCCATACTTCCCTTTGTAAATCTCAAACAGCTGTCGCATTTCCGACCTAATGCAGTTAACCATATCTCCTCCCTTCACATTCCCATACATCATTGCCAAAACCTAGGACACAAAATCAAGTTTACTTCTTGGATCAAGCACACATGCTATATAAATTAAGTGGTTCACCTTCATGTTCTTCTCATTCCCAACACATTACTCAAACCAATACTTTTGTACCTTTTCCTCAACCTTCTCAACCATCTTTTGGATCTCTTCATCCGGATCATTCTTCAATTGCTCAATGATGTCATATACCGTAACAAGCTTCTTGAAGAAGATATGGATAGTCACATATTTAGTTCCTATACAATGAGAAGACAACACATAAGATTATAATAAAACAAATAGAAATGGGCAAATGGTTAAAAATTTTAAATAAAACAATGCAATTCAGAAATTTCACTTACAAAAGACTAGAAGGGTCAAGTCATTGAAGACTTTCAGATAGTCTTTCAACTTCCTAATCATCTGCCAATCTTGATTAGTTGGAAGCCCACCCCTTGAGTCAAGATAATCTCTAAGAGAATGATCGTGTGGATTTGCATACAAAGTTGTAAACACTGCATCAAAACTTTCTGCTAACTCTAACATGGTATAGGTGGAGTTCCACCTGGTCGGTACATCCAAAGACACCAGTTTGGTTGACTCCACATGCAGAAATTCCATGCCATTCTTGAACTGTAACAACCTAGTTGGTGAAGACCTCACCCATTTCACACAATCTCGAACTCTGTCCACAACACCACCAACCACTTTCAGTCCATCTTGTACCACCAGATTAATGATGTGTGCAACACATCGAAACTGCAGAAACTTCCCATCCATCAAATCACACCCCCACTCCTTTAGCTTCGTTCTCATGCACTCACTGAGAACATCATTTGAAGTTGCATTGTCCATGGTCATGCATAATAGATTCTTTACCTTCCACTCTTTAAGAACTCCTGCAAGCTTCTCTGCAATATCAACTCCAGTATGACTTGTGATGGGAACAAAGGCTATAACCTTTTTCTGCAACTTCCAATCACCTCAAATAAAGTGAGCAGTAACACACATGTAATTCTTGTTGTTATCAGAAGTCCATGTATCCGTAGTGATTGAAACTCTTCCTTGGCTCATTGATTCAAAAAAATCAATTAAACCATCTTTTTATCCAAAAAGATATGAAAGCAATCATCTCTTATAGCTCTCCTCCCGGGTATCCTAAACAGTGGCCAAACAACATAGATGAATTGATTAAATCCTTCCCTCTCCACAAAGCGAAATGACAATTCATCCATAATGATCATACTGGCTAATGCATATCTAGTTTTTCCCTGATCAAACATGAGTGCATGTGGGTTATTCATTGCAGTGGTTCCATTTTTGTGAGGATGAGCTTTGATTAGAGTATGACAGTGTATGCACTCACCCATCGGGTAGCTGTCAACTACCACCTTCTTAAACACCTTCCAACAAAGAGCTTTACCCACCATCTTCATCCATTTCTCGCAGTAAAAAATGTCTTCTGTAGTTCTCTCTAAATCAGGAGCGCCCGTGTCAACATAAGGAGTCTCGGCAGGTGTACTTCCACTATCGACAGGAGCGTGAATCGATGGAGTTGATGAAGACGGTTCAGCTTCAGTATCTTGAACAAGTCGACTTCCTGTACGCCCACCACGACCCCGCGTCTGAACAGGAGTAGTCGCACCACCACGACCTAGAGGAGCCGGAGGTCTCCCACCACGAGGAGCAGTCGCAGTAGTAGGGACACCTCGTCAGCCACGTCCCCACGAGTAGCCGTAGGTCTCGCCCTACGAAAACAATTACACAAATTGAACTCAATTCAAAAAAATCATCTAAATCAGTGGCCATAGGCACTAGACAAGTGGAATCTTGTTGTACATAATTCACACACACATAACACTCATTTAATTATCATTCTCAATGATCAACTATCTAATCCATAATGAATGAAAATAGTAGTTATTTTCTGCTTTTCTTTCAACAAAATACACAATAACTAATGCACTTAAAACGAACAAGCTATATGTGCATCCATTGGACTTTGACTCTCTATCATCAACCTTCAACACGACACCATTTCTCAAGTAACAACAAGTACATGCATGTCCACAAAAGAAGGCTCACTATCCATTTCATGATCATCTAAATTGAAACAATGAATTATCAATTGCTGAATTATCCATCACAAATTCAAAACAAGTATGAACTCTCAAGTCACAACTCACATCAGACTGATCAAAGGAGAGGAACAGCGGCGGCTACTGGTGGACTGGTCGGTGGACGAATAGCAACGAGGGACTATGGCTGGCGGCGGAGGAACGACGGCGGAGGACTGTGGCTGGCGGAGAGTTGTGACTATGGCTGGCGGCGTTGGAACGACAGCGGAGGACTATGGCTAGCGGCGCTGGAACGACGACGGAGGAACGGCGACTGCTGGCTACTGATGGATTGGTCGGGGTCTCGAGGAGGAGATGGCGGAGCAGCAGAGCGCCGGGCGCGGGTCGGGGAAATTCGTCGTTGGCGTTCAGCCTGAACGGTTCAAGGCAGGCGACAGGGAGTACTGGAGAAGGGAGTCAGGGCAGGCGGGCGGTAGCAGAGAGTTCTCTTCCCGTCGCGATGCAGAGAAGAGAAGGGAAGGGGTGGGCGGGTGGCTTCGATTAGGGATTTAGGGTTAGGTCTTGTGGCGTCGTTTTACAAAAAATGAGGGGGGTTAGATGTGTTGGTTATTCGGTTAACCGGCGGTTATCGCCCTCGGTTAGCCGGCTAACCGCCACATCTAACCCCCTACCGAACACCGCCTGCGAACGTAATTTTCGGTTAGTCGGTTAACCGACAACCGATAACCGAACCTCCAGCCCTACCAGAAATAACCACAGCTAAACTCTTTCTGCAGCACATCCAAGCATGGGTAAATGTAGTGGAGACTGCCATGTACAAGGATAAGGTTTATCCACTATCCTCATCTACCCGCTAGAATGGAGGAATTTATCTCCTAGACGCCGCCTCCTCACGAGTGGGTTACTCTCAACTCTGATGGCTCCGTCATCCCTGCATAAGGTCACGCAGCTGTTGGTGGCCTGATTAGAGATCACACAGGACGTTGCATTGCAACGTTTGTTATTAACCTCGAGATCTGCTCTATCACCCGAGTTAAGTTGAAAGGTGCTACAGAGGGACTTCAGTTAGCTTGGGAACTTGGCTACCGTCGGGTCAAAGTTCAGCTAGACTCCAGGTGCGCAGTGCAGATTCTCCAGCGTCGGCATGGCGACGACGATAGGCACTCAGCAGTCACCCAATGTTTCCTTGCGTTGTTAGAGAGAGATTGGGAAGTGTCACTCTCACATGTTTATAGGGAAGGTAATAAATGTGCGAATTACATTGCAAGTCGAGGTCACATGTCGCCTCTGGGGTTTCAGTCTTTTCCAGTTTCTGATCTCACTCTTGTATCTTGGATTATGTATGACTTACAAGGGCCTTCCGACCCACGTCTGGTTTTGATTGAAAGCTGAGATGCTCTGCACCCATTTATACAGTCAATGTGGATGAAAGAGGTTGTCAAAATGGTTTATACTGTCAGTTTAGCAAGTGGAATGATTCGATCGGTGGTATAATTGGTTTGTGTTGATTCATACCAATTTAATAAAATATATAAAAAATCATTAATATCACATGAATTTAATTATATATATAACATATTTGAAAATAATCTACATACAATTCATATTAATATAAATAAAATACGACATTCCAAATAAAATAACAGATACTTGTATTCAAATATAATATTTAACGTTGATATCTAAACTTTTATACTTAAATTCAACTAATAACATCACCATTTAACTTTTCAAATTATAAAATAATTAAATAATTAAATTAATTAAATTCACTTAAACGACGTAATTTTGCTTAGAAGTCGTAAATCGATCATCTTGGTCATACCGGTGGTGTTCACGTCAATTTTATGATCGGCAAAGGCTGAACCAAGTTAAGCCAGCGACTAACTCTAAACTACTCTCTCAATCGAAGGTCAAGCATAACCAATGACTGGGTCTAGCATAGTGGAAGTAAAGTAATAAAAGTATCGAGTCCATGGATCTCTAGGTCAATAGCTCCAATTTGGAGAGTTTAATCGATACCCGACCAATTCATGAATTACCTCAATTCAATATATAATCAAGATTTGAAACAAGCATATGAATTATTCAAACATCAATTCCAATCACACAACGCTAAAACATGGCCAGGGTTCATCAAAACCTAAGTGAAGGAGAACTATTCAATAGAGAGGAGAGAGAATACCGTATAAGCACCAAAATCTTCAATCTTCATCTTATAGACTTGACCTTCTAGCTCCAAATGTGTTGGACGCCTCCGATTTAGCTCCAAGAACTCTCCTATGTCACTCTCCATCTTTTTGGACGCCCCTTGGGTGTTTTGGGTGAAAAGCCAAGCTCTCCTCCCTCAAAAACCGGTAGCAGCATATTTATAGTCCACAGAAACTGCCTGAACACGACCGTGTTGGCTTGCCATGTTCACCTCTACTCGTTGTTCTTGAAGTTCTTTAGAAGCTACCCAAACACGCCCTACGAACACACCTGTGTCAACAGGCCTGTGTTCTTCAATGATAATCAATTTGTGCCATTTTGGGATGGATGTCACGGTTCAGAGACCGTGACCTTTGCAACATCCCGTAAAACACAAGTGAACTTCTATTTCTCAGCACCTGACATAGGCTACGAACACGATCATGGTGTAGGTTGTGGCCACAGATCAACACCCTTGTGAACGTGTTTGGGAACACAACCATGTCTTGGGTAGTGTTACAAAACATGGGTAAGAACACGATCGTGTCCCAGGCCATGTTCTCTCTGGCTTGCTCTTTTCAATGTTGTCATTGCCTCCATTCGTCCAAAATTCATTCCTTGGTCATATTTACGACATAGAACCTGAAACTTGACAAATGAAGCACAACCTACAAGAAAATGAGTCGAGGAACACTAAACACCAAGTCAAACGATTAAGATATAAAGGGTATAACATGTATAATTAAGTCCGAATCAAACTCCCCCGCACTTAAATTTTTGCTTGTCCGCAAGCAAATATAACTCAAACTAGTGCAACTTGCTAAACTCCCATAATGGTAGGAAATCTAGATCGTCGTTTATGGGATAACTAGCATTACGAGGTCATCTAGAGACAAGAAATCTCCCAACCACATTGATGAAAAGCACAAAATCAAGTTGGAACCATGACAATTAGTGGAGCCAAGACACGAGACATGTATGAAAGGACTCTCAAGACATTTGAAATCAATGGACTAGATTGGTTGTGCTCCTAATTAAAAGGGCTCAAACTTTCGAGCCTAAACTCACTTTGTCATTTATGGCATCACAGGTGAAGTTTAGCAAGACAAGGGCTCTATCTCATGGCTAGAGCGGAAGAAGCATCCATTTCCCTATCTAGCCCATGTGGGAAAAGAGGTGTAAAGTTAGGATGGAAGGTATTAGGAGTAGGGTAGGATGCAAGAAGTTCATGAACTCACTTTGAACAAAAGCATTTCCGAAAGCGCACTACCATTCCTAGGCTCGATCTATGGCAATTGACCTAAGTTAGTGATGGGTTGCAAACTTGTGAGATAATCAAGAGTCGAGGTCTCTAGACTTGAGCATAATAAATGATCTCTTCTCTACCAAGTCCATCCAGGAGGAGAGGTGTAAGAAAGGATGGAGAGTAGTAGGTGAAAGTTTGAAAACAATATTGTTCTCTCTTATGCATACTCAAAGCGCAAACCGATTTTAGATAAACCTTTTGAAAGATTCAATAAGCACTATGTCTGGTCGCCACACACGTGAAACACATTTTTAATTCAACGCACATTAAAAAATGTAGCACCTTTTTGCAAAAACTTTTCGAGCCCATAAGGGTAGAGAGTTCAAGACAAGTGTCTTAATCATCACTAGTTAACAGTCTCAACGAACCAAAGAGGATGCTAAAGCTAGATTTCTCATAGACCAACATCCTCCATAGAGCTACAATATCCTCCCTAGAATTAACACCATCATGACAACCAACAATTCAAAGCACAATGAGTAGGAATCATGCATGAGAAAAGGTGTGTGCAATCCTCAAATTTGAAAATTTGCGCATATAATCTAGGTTCCGAAAGACTCACAATATAGGTCATAAGACAATCATTTATTCACAAGTGGTTGGAGCCCTCAAATTTTTTAAATTTTGGGCAATAATCAATTCTTTAAAGCATTCTATAGATATGCCAAATTATTAATTCACATTCACACGTCATTCAACATTGTGGAAGTAAAGCTTAATTATCAACCCTAGCAGGATATGGTCTATTACTTCGCAGACTAACTTGTTATCTAGTAAATCAAGATTTGAGTTAACTAATCAATTAAAAAACAATACAAAGAAAGTTTGGTTGAAAACTATCAAGAGAAAGTCACACGGGTGTCAATTTACTCTAGCTCTAAAATAGAACGATGAATGATGTTCCAAGCTGCTGACTCATGATTTATAGCGTGGACAATTCTATATTCACTTAGAATCCCTTTCGAGTCCTCCATACCCACCTAGAACGGACTATCCGGAGGGAGAGTTCCACATTTGCTCACACCGACTACCACAAATAAAATCCCAACTGGAGCCCAAGTATAAACTCTATAAGGGTGCAGTATAGGGCAAGCGTTTTAATTGTCAACCCGGGTCGGTCCATGTACCCCTACTTCAATTGCTTAAGTTGTTATCTAGCAAACAGTTTGGATTTTCAAACTAAGAAAACTACAAAGTAAACAAGCAAGTAAAGTAAAATGTAGAGAATTCTATACGAGAGGACTCCACCCGGGTATTGCTCCCCCTAGTCTCATGTTAAGAAACAAAGATCGGAACTCTAGTGTGAAGGATGTATTTATATACCGTGAGGCGGGTGCAACTATTTAGGAAGCCCTAACTCTGTTAGTATACCAATTAAGAGTTTCAACTATAAGTTAGGTAGCCTAGCTCTCTTAGCCATTCATGCAACTAAAAGCTAAGAAATCTAGCTCTCTTAACCAATCAACCAAGGATTGCAAGAACCATTCCCTCGGAAGTTAATCCGGACGGTGGAAAGAGACCAATCAAGATGGAATCATGGTACTAATCCGATATTTGAGGTTTGTCCTCATTTGCCTAGGTGGGTGACTCAAATTGGCCAAGAAATCCAGCTTCTCAAAGCCTCTAACAAAAGGGGATTCTCTCCACCTAGGTCAAAATGACCCAATAATGAGTTAAAACTAGAAACACTCAATCATTCATGAATAATACCTCAAATATTATATAAGAAATTCAATCAACACACATAGAATCATGTTCTTACATGCATCCTTACACACATCTAGACTAGGGTTCACAATTCCCAAGTGAGAAGGAGCACTACCCCATAGCTAGGCAAGGGAATACAAAAAAGTTCAAAGAAAGAACCATGGTGTGGTGACTATCCTCCTTCCTTGTTGCTTGAATCACCCTTGAGAGAAAAAATCCTTCAACCCTCTAGCTTAGGGGAAGGGAAAAGGTGTGAAAGTCATCAATGCAACCTTCTTGATCATCCTCACCACGGGAGCTCTTTGGGGTGAGTTCTTCTTGCTCCACGCGGTTTTCATTGATCGTCCCTTCAACCTTCTCTATCTCCTCCAATGATGTGAGGCGATGGCTTGCACAAGCTCGTGCCGCCTACTCTTGTAATGTCAAACCGGGAGGAGGGAGGGGTTGGAAATCCGTATTGGAGCATGCTCTTTCAAAGTTCTCCATGGCAAGCTCCAATTTGGACTTCACTTCGGGTTGTGAGAGATCCAAGTTCGAGCACCCTTCATTGGTGCCTCGGGCAAAGCGCTCAACCATTAGCTCCAAATCGCTCTTTGGGTCCGGTTGGGGATTGGGACATGGTCTTGAGGATTGTCCCATGAAAGCCTCTGTTGCTAACTCCAACTTGGATTTCTCCTCGGGTTGTTGAGGGAAGTCTTCTTGATATGGGGAAGCTTCTTGATATCCACATGAGTATGTTTGTTCTGCTTGGAAGGGAGGTTGATCATACAACCCGATTCCTTGGCTTTCACCCTCTTGATTGTTCCATGAAGCTCCAAGGTACCCCCCCCCCCATTCGGGTGTTTGTGGATACCCCAACATGTTGTAGAAGTCATTGGGATCCTTGATTTAACCTACAAACACAAAAAGAAAACCAAACAAACCCTCATCACCCTTCAAAATGAAAAGTGGGTCAACAAACACAAAATAAAATAGCTAAAGTAACAACCTATGTCTTTTCCGATAACCTAGAATGTTTGTCCACAATAATGGTGCCAAAAATTTAGTAGCTCATAAAAGATTACTACTCTGGATTGCATGCCAATTAGAGGGTGATGCACATTAGGAACCCACCTAGAGTCAATTCAAAGCCGCTCAAAGGTTGGTCATCTTCATGTAGTGGCTCCTCCACGCGGGTCGAGGTATAGGC